TGTGTGTTTACAGTAAGTGGGTTGAAGACATTCTTGTTTGACATGAGGGAAAATTCTATTCAGGTTTCAGCATAAAGGTAGTGTCCACTTTTAAAACATCTTCACACACTCAGGACTTTAATCCTGACTATAAAAAGGAGGTAAACCAGGAAGCAGTGAAGAAAACTTTTGACCTTTTGACCTTCTCAAACATTTCGGCATTCAAACAGTCATGTATGAAATATCAAAGCACAACACGACTTGTGGCCGAATGAAACCCGGCGCTCTGCAGAGCACTGATAAGATGGCACACAGTCAAAGTCTATGGCAGATTACCATACTGAGACTGAGGGCAGAGAGAGAGAGAGAAAGAGAGAGAGAGAGAGAGAGAGAGATGTCACTTCTGTTCTCCTCCCTGGTGATGCTCTTCAAAACTAGTACTACAGCCAATGTCACATCTCTTTAGTCTGCCCTTAAACGAAGCAAAGGCAACTTATTCAAGAAGCATTCTTTGTTCCAGAAAACTGGAATTCTCTCTACATTCCTACTGCAATCACTGTACGCCATTCACAACAACTTATGTGTGTGTCTGTTAAATATGAAAGACATGTATTTTTTCCATCACAGACATTTATGTATTTTTCACATAGCTGTCAAAATGATATCAAAATAAAAGTTAAACTACTTGTGGCCTTAACAAAAAGCAAACGCAGTGTACAAAGATTGGGCTAGAAGAAGCAACATCAGGTGCACTGTATGGAAAATGAGATGACAGTATGGAAAAGTGGGCTGGTCCTAAAACACAGAATGGATTTAAACACCCTCAAACAACCTTAAAATCAGATACTCTCTCTTAGGTTTAGGTATTGTTGATTTGCATTGTTTTTGGGGATTTAGAGAATAACCAATTTCTCATAAATCTTTCATGCACTTATAAAAGAACTTTGTCATTAGCAGCCTTTCCCAGGTCATCTGATCTGATGTGTTGTTTTGTGGAACATCCTTGTTTCTGACAGGCTAATGGTCTTCCCCACCACTCAAAAACCGCTCTCTCCTCCGTGGTGTGGCCTGATGTTGGCTCTGCATGACCGAGTTTAGCTCTCTGACAGAGCAGAGCAGCTGGCCTGGATGAGGTTGTAGCTTCTTTTTATATGAATCCAATAATGAGGATGTGCTCTGACAGCTGAGCAGGCTCGCCGTGACTAGAAGCAGAAGTGCCGTGTGCCTCCAATAGACAGTCATAAATTGTCTTCTTTCACCCAAACTCGACCGGTGGTTGGCTTGACGGACCGTCTATTTTGACTTTGCTCTGTTGGAACAGATATTCATAGTTCCTAGAGAATAAACTATAATGATGTGGGTTAACTTCTAACTTATATAATACCACAGACAGGTAGCCTCAAAGGTTGGCCCTTCAAAAAGTGAAGGAATGGATATTAATTAAGCTAATGAGCAAAACTGATGCCCCAGACCTAACTGTTCAAGTTTAATATGGGTAATTATTGCCTAATGTTAGCATGTAACTTATAGAAAATGAATAATGCTCTAACAAGCAGCTCGGAGCAACACTGAGTATATCGGAGACAAGGTTGGGATAAAAGGGAAGACAATTCTGACCAGCTCAGTTCTCTCAGAATTACGTCCGTATCCTAAAACACTGCACTCCACCATTTATTGTCATTAAAACTTTCAATCAAATTCTACATTCGGGAAGTATTGTTGTGGTAAAGTCTATCTGCAAATGTCACATCTGTGTTGCTATGATCTTTTCTAATCTGAAGCATAGAGTTACCATCAACAGATACTGCACAAAGCCTGAACTTTAAAAAATGTTGAGCATAATTAAAATCTGCTGAAGGAGTTTTTTTTAACTGGTGATAAAAAAATAAATTAAAAAAAAGGCTCAACTGCATACTGACGCCTTTAAATAACCAGATGCAAATCAGCACACCAGCACGATAACTGATCCATAATTTGCTCTCTTCTTCCTGGGCAGGTGCCCAAAGTCAGACATCTCTTTTATATTGTATTATGTAACACGTGTACAGTATGTAGAGGCGAGTACAGTGAGTGGGTGTTTACAGCTCAAATAAAAGCACACAAGGTGATGAAAGATCCACATGTTCAACATACACATGGTTGTTGATGAACTATTATTCCTACATTACTCGCAAGTGTTTGTATCGATGTCTTTGTCGATAAAATTAGCATAATTTAACAACCAATAACGGCAGTAACCGCTGTAGCTGATGAACTGTTCGCTACGTTTAACTTTTGATGGCGCTTACAGGTTGCCAATCGAAGGCAGGATACTTGCGGCCCTGTTACATCTCGTGTGCATTGTGTAACACACTTAGGCGGGATGATCAGTTGACATTTTTACACCCTGATCCACCATTGGACGTAGTAATAGAAGCATGATGTGAGAAAGACGGTGGCGAGGTGATGGAAGGGCTGAACAGTGTGTGCCTGTCTGAGTGTGTGTATGTGAAATTTCCATTGTGTGTTCACACACCATGCCGCTCATGCTTCCTCAACGCCATAATGCAATGTAAGTTCACGCACTGGGACCAATAACACGCTGTATTATTATTATTATTATTATGTATGCAACAAAATGCGCCGTTAGTGAATCACAATCTGTACAGGGCTTCATTTAGCTGAGAGGAGAAAGAAAAATCATCTCATAATAAATAATCTGTACAGCTGCTGGACCTTTAAACCCCAACCCTAAAATTAAGCACAAAGATGTGAATAAAGGTAGGGACCATCAAGTTGAAATCGATCTCAGTTGATATTCATTAACTTTTATGATACACTCCAAGTTGAACTCAGTGACCTTAGAAGAGAGCTTTGGTGCCTGACTGTTTTGTGCGATGATAAGAAAAGAAGAAGTCTGAGGCTCTCGTTCAGCCAGGTCCTGAGATATTTCACCTCTTGTCTGAAAGGCTTCTTCGCAATTACAGAAGATTTTTGAGTGAAAGTGGGAAACGTCCTCAAGAACATCAACACTGAAAAATGTTCAAATAAGAGAAGACATACATTTTGTCTTCTGGCTCAACGTCCATTTTACTTGACTTTGAAATGTAGAATAAATTTAAGGCCAAAATACAGTATAGTACCAGCAATGTGTACATTCAGGTTCAGGTTAACAGTTGCATGCAACAGTAGCTCAATCTCAGCAAAGTGATACTCTCCTATGAATATAGAAATTGAATGACCTCTTCTATACAGTTTTATCTGGTGAATTATGCAGAGGTGTAATGGGGGGGGGATGGCGTGATCCCGCCTCTGTATTGTCTTACAAGGTAGTAACAGAGGCGAGGCAGTTTCAGCGGAGCTAGCGGGGGGAGCGCAGCGATGTGTGAGCGTACATGTCAGATTGTGCGTCTAGGTGGAGCTCCCGCTGTGCTACACTTCCGCAATGCAAACGCGATGTGAACTCACAGACTGGGACACCAGTAGTATGCCGTTGTGGAATCAATATGAATGTACAAAGAGGATATGATCGCCGAGTGTGGTTACGGCACTTGTGCAAAAAAGGGCTTTTGACTATTTTTCTCTGTCATATGTACAGGCAGAGCTGTGATTTTACCAGACTGATGTTTTCCCATGCAGGCTTTGTTTGTCCGCTCCGTGACTCTGTTTCTTGACCTCTCCTCTCCTTCAGGCTCCCTGGTGGTTTGTACAGGCTTGTCCTTCTACTGAAGCTATGCACACACAGCCTAGGGATGGCAGCTGCAAGTGTCCCTGGGAAACTTCACAGCTTTGCCCCCAGGCGCTCAATAGTTTACTCTGGTAGTTAGAGCTGGCTTGTTGTTGTCGCCTGGGGCTGTTTAGATCATCTGATTGATTCTGCTTTGACTGATCATCTTTGTGGGGTGGATCAGAGCCAATTTAGAGGCTTTTTACACATGTCTCTCTCTGATTCTCTGTTTTGTTTTTCCATTAGAGCATTATTATACTACACCATGCACACGTGCATGAACAATTTATTGTTGTTTATTGTCCGCTGTATTGAATTTACGTCAAATTACTTTTGTAATCATACTTGGCGGATTCTTATCTGGGAAGGTTTTAGAAAATGATTTTCACAATCTCAAAAGTCTTGTGGAAAAAAAAAAAAAAAGGATTTATTTTACATATTTCAAATCATCGTTGTTAGACTAGCAGTTCAATGCTGCTCGCTGTTTTCACAATCTTGAAAGTCAGTCTTAAAAGTCTCCAAACCAATGAGTGACTACTTGTTTTCTTGATATAATCCTAAAATAGATCAACTCCATCCAGAGAGAAATTGATCAATAAAATCCTGATACGAATAAGAATAAAAAAGGACATTATCAGCATTTTAATACATGTCACAGAGAAGGAGCAGAGGTTTACTGCTTACTTCATCCATGCAGTTGAAATGTGTGGAAGCATCAGTATTTGTTATGCCTGTTTTTTTTTTGTTTTTTTTAAGTTTACACTTTAGAGTTCCTCACTATCTGTAGATTCAAGTTTGCGAGACAAAATAACTCATTAGTACACAAGTTGCATACATTTGATGATCATCTGATATGTTCATATTGGAGTTCATTTCTAACAAAAGAATAACAGACATATGCAACAATGTCAACCGTAAGATTGAACACAAAGTTTTAGAACATGCTCCAGTAAAGTAAGAAGTTAACACTGACTCATCCCTTCCCCATGTCTACTCCTCAACACATAATCTATATTCATATTTTATGAACAATAAATGGTTTAAATATATATATGTAAAAAATGGCAGAAATTGTAACCATCTTCCTCTCCTTTACTGTATACTTACTGCAATGTGTTTTTTTTGTGGTTCAGTTTCCTCGACAGAATAAATGTTGTGTAATTAGTGTTTCATTTATAGGTCGTGCAGGATTTATGGGGCTCTCTTGTAGAGACCGTGTACGCAGCAGTGAATAAGTGAATTGGGGGTGGAGCTGTGGGTTCAGACCTGCTGTAACAGCTCTGACTCTGTGATCACTTACAGAGGATGCCACCAGTGGGAAAGCATCGTATGGCAGAAATACGTGGACATGGATCTGAATTTAGTATCTTTGTCATTTTCATTTGATCAATAGGACACAGTTCTCCCTCCAAAATATGGAAGTTTTGTTTTTTTTTCCAACAGTTTCCTACTAATTCCTGATTTTCTATTAGGGATTTTTTCTTCATTGTTTAAGTGTTTCAAATTGCGTCTGCGAGCACTCTGACGGCATAGACTGAAAACAATGTCCGACTCACTGCTTTGTACAAACAACAAACTCTAAAGTTGTCTTTATGGCGTTTCAAAATGACAGACTCTAACTTGAGGAACGAAAGCAACAATGGGATCTATTTTGCTGAATCTCTCAACGGAACGGTCTTGGACCAAATATCTCCAAACGACAGCACCCCGACCTGCACGAACTTCGCAATGGACCCACATGTTGTCGGGGTTGGGGTCTTTCTCTCCGTTTTCATTTTGGTGGCAATTGTTGGGAACATTTTGGTCATCTTATCTGTGGTGTGCAACAAACATTTGCAGACTGTCACAAACTTCTTCATTGTGAACTTAGCCATGGCAGACCTGCTGTTGAGCATTATCGTGCTGCCTTTCTCTGCCTCTCTGGAGGTGCTGGGATGCTGGGTGTTTGGCCGGATTTTCTGCAACATCTGGGCAGCGGTGGATGTGCTCTGCTGCACCGCATCCATCCTCAGCCTCTGCATCATCTCCGTGGACCGGTACATAGGGGTCAAACACTGCCTGAAATATCCCAGTATTATGACAGAGAGGAGGGCAGTGGCTATTTTGATTCTAGTGTGGGTGTTATCCACGATTATATCTGTGGGACCGCTCCTGGGATGGAAGGAACCTCCGCCAGTGGACGAACGCGTCTGCAGAATCACAGAGGAGCCAGGCTACGCGCTCTTCTCCTCGCTCTTCTCCTTCTACCTCCCGCTTATGGTCATTCTCTTCATGTACTTCAGAGTCTATGTGGTGGCACGAAGGACTACTAAGAGCCTCGAAGCGGGCGTCAAAAGGGAGAGAGATAAGTCGATGGAGGTGGTGCTCCGGATTCACTGCCGCAGCGTGCTGGAGGACGTGCGCACGCCGAGCGCAAAAAGTAGCAAAAACCACCCGTTTAGAAGTTCGCTCTCTGTGCGGCTGATGAAGTTCTCCAAAGAGAAAAAGGCTGCTAAAACCCTCGCCATCGTTGTTGGGATGTTCATACTGTGTTGGCTGCCTTTTTTCTTCTTTCTGCCCATGGGTAGGTCTTGCATTTCTTTCCACTGTGGTCCAGCGTAAATGCTGCATGCCAAAGTTCTATTTCTTCAAAATGTGATCGCATTTAATGTCTATAAGTTACTGAGATGTTGTCGATGATTAAAATGAATAATTAAGTGTATCGTTTAGAATTAGGATTTCACTAGGAATGCCCCAACGGTGAAAGAAGCAACCCTTGACCCTTTGTTTTTACAGTTGAAGTTTAAGATAACTAGACAAATGCCTGTAGGCTACAGTGTTGAGATGACAGGAAATTGGTGAAATTAACCAAGATGATTTTGATTAATTGTTTATTCTAAGGAACAAACCGGGAATTAATCCAAACTAAGGATGTGAGCATTTAATTAAAACTGATGTTTGGCCAGAAAAGGTCAAATCTGCAACGAGACCACAAACATGGTTTGCTTTCATACCAGTCATTTTTCCTGGGAGACTATTTGTTCAGATGGCTTATATCAGATTTTTCAAGGAGCAGTCATAATACTCTGACATTCTTCCCTAATGAGCTCTCTGAAACTGCTGCCAATTACAAATATGAGCTTCAGTTTATGGACTACCAGTTTTTGGTCTCTCAGAGTATTATCTGTTTTAAGGCCTCAACTTTGTCTATATTTGCAGCAGTCAGAAACACAGATTAAATGTAACACAACATTCTACATGTATGTCTTTTAAAATAAATAATGAAGTGAAATAAAAATCCCAGCATTGAAAGGATTGGATAGAGGAGTTATGGTGATTAATGGATAAGGAAATAGTCTGAGCAGATGGTTGAAAAGACCTTCCAGGAGGGATGACCAGTAAAAGACATAATGGCTGTACATAAATCAAACTGAGTATTGCTACTTGCATATAAAACTGCACTCACAGAAATCAACTGTAGTCCCAACACACATTAATGGTGACCTCATGCATTTTACTTTGCATATATTTCACATAATTTAATGGAAAAGCCACCATGGACAAATGACTAGTCTATGATCAGGTAGAGCACTTATGGCACTCTCATCCTTTGGCACCTCGAAATGTAGTCAATCAAATTGTTAGAGCAAAGCCTTCGGGGAGAGAGTAGAAGTTCAAGGAAGATGAAATGATGGCTGCTGATCATTTTGTATACTCAATGGGAGAGGAAAGGGCACGTTTATTTGTAGCCTCTAGTCTAAGATAGATATTTTGGGTCTGCTGTTGATTCAAAATTAGCGAAGACAATGATTATACATTAAGTTGTTTTAATCATTAGAACAAATCAATACAGCAACACACAGGGGTGTATCCAGATTAGGGTATGGGGGGGGCCAATGGTCCTTATGTGATTGGCCACCCATGGTGCCATTCAACAATTTATGTTTGGCTTTCTGCCCAGTTAAAGGCAGGACTTCTATCCAAACTATCTTTGAGCATGAGCAGACAAAGCTTGTACCTTTATGGGCATTTTAATGTAACATATTTATTTTGTTAGTACACAATGATCAATGACTATTAGAGATACATCTTATTTTTGAGTCATGAGGGATTTCTCCAAGAATTAATTATCGAGGATAAATATGTTGCGTTCTTTAAAAAAATCGATCACATTGTTACATCTGTTTAATGCCATAATATTATTTGTTCATGTCGATTAAAGGAGGTAGAAATTGAACTGTACATAAAAAAACATTTGCCAACATTTGTCTGCACACTTATACCAACAATGCATACGTTCTTTTCTCCCAGTTGGGCAGCTGAAGTCCAAAAAGTCTAAACACGCCCCCCTGCCATTGACTTCACTCGAATACTATGAGCATTTGATGCCTCTCTAATAAAATTATACACTTAAAGCCTATCAAAAATTTTAAAAATCCAAGGAATTTTAGCTACTATTGGTGGTTATGTTTGATTACAGAGTTTAGAGCCACGTCAACTCCCAGTTCTTCGCCCTGCTTAGCCATTCCTGCTCAGTCAGACAGATAGATGTTGGTACGTTGCAGAGACATCATTAATGAGTAACCTTTTGTCCGGACACAGACGTACTCTTTCAGCACCTTTTGTGCCATTCAGGCCATTTATGTGTGATGATGCAAATTTAGACAGAGTAGTCTGACTCATGCCAGGCTCCAGAGAGGGAGAGCGCCCTAGCACCATTTATTTAAATTAGTGCACCAGACTCATGAATAAGTTTTTTTCAATTGCCAGAAAATGTAATAAAGACAAGTAGCTTTTCAGAATTAGTTTGAATGCTGTCTGTCTTTCAGAGTGACGGATAAAACCTCAAGTGCAGCCATATGGTACAGAAAGGATCAGGCAGGAAGGCTGTTTTTAATGAACAGTCAATTAATGTAATGTGATAGAATAATAATGGGGACATTTACAAAGAGGTGATTAGGTTTATTATACTAGTTAGTAATGAAGAACCCAGGGCTTTGCCTCTCAAAATGATAGGTCTTGAGATATAATACACTATTATACTATTTTTGTAAACCAATCCCCTAACTGGGGACCAAAGTCAACAGTATACTACTTTATCTTTGGTTTTGGTCTAACATGGAATTTATTAACAGTTGGAAAAAATGCTTTAAAGAAATGTCACTGTTTCAATAAGGATATCGATTTCTGTTGTGCATCATCATTATGAAATGTCAATGTGGTTCCCTAAACATGCATACACTTAATATAGCAAATACATACAGAGCTACAGTTTGGACCTTTATGGCACTATATTAAAAGGCGTTATAAAAAGGCAGGTATCAATTGGCTACCTTCACATAAATGGATATGGGATAAATCCCCAGGCTCTGTAAGTAAGGGCTGGTCAGGGTTGTGTCTGCTCTCACAAAAGAGCAGTCACTAAATATTGTCTGAGAAATTGGAAAGGTCCCCAGACTCTTGGCTTTAGGATTTGTACATGAGCCAATGTTAAGTTTAAAGAAAATCACTTCCTCAGAAGTAAATCAAATGACATTCATCTTTCAGACTTCAAAAAGACACTATCTATCTAAAGGCTGTACCCAAACAAACAGAAAAGAAAGCCTGAAAGATGTAATCTGTTGTCATGGTTTTGTGTTTGTGCGTCAGAGTGAATCACTTTCTGTCTGCCTATAAAAATGATGTCATTTTACTGAAAATAATCAATGGGAAACATTGTAGCACGATCTCCAATTCCACTTCATTAATGTGTTGAGCCAGAACTGGTTTCAAGATGAGTCATTTCAATAGAAATACATTTAAGATGTGACTATAGTGTCAGATAAGGAAATATGCATACTGTAGAAATAAATATATACAACTTAAAGAGAATTATATTGTTAATATTCTAATGTCAAAACCATACAAACCGTTTATCTGAACGTCAAAGACGAGTCATTTTATATTTCTACATTGTACAACCAGGCTCAAATTGAAAACTGACTTTTCCCCCAGGGAGTGCCGACTTTGACATTAGCACTGTGATATGTTGCCTCTGTGTCCAGGGTCAACACTGTGTTTAATCCAAGCCTGGGGAGACAAGAATAAATAGAAGGCAGTGAGGCAATGTCCCATGAAAAATAACATTTAATGCCTAATCTCGAGTGAAATCAGAAAGAAAACCTAAAAATGATTAATGTATGTAAGCATTCTGTAATGTTTTATGGAAGTTTACAGAATTTAAAGCTCTCGTGAGGAGTTTCAAGCTGGTTATGAATCAGGCGTGAATAAATACTGATGCCTTTTTGTGAGCTACAAATCCAAGGAAGCCCATCAGAGACGAGACTGAATCTTTTTAGAGAATGTTATTCTAAATGTCTAAAATCATCGCTGGAGGGGGGGGTAGGCGTCAGATGAATTGATTAACTGCAGTCTTAGAAACAGCGTTGTTTTAAACATTGTCCACAGCAAAGACTTAAAGGGAGAGATACATTAAACTGTTTTTTTTTTTAAAACAACTTACACATGCACAGGACAAGATCAACCATCAGATAAAAGAGACATTGCTTTGTCTACAGAGAATACTAAAATCGGCATGAACCAAAATGTCCTCACTAAGTTTTGTTTGACTTTATGAATGGCTTCAGGCGATTTAAGTCCTGTAAAAGTCTTAACTGATCAATATTAATGTTCCATCATCCTGAAGAAAGCTGGAAAAGTATTCAAAGTTGTCCAAGGATGGGTTTTCCATCTTACCAATGCTAATGACTAAAGACAGGCTTTGTATAAAGCACACATCAAAGCAGTGTGCATGCCGTCCATATAGATGTAGGGAGAGCTACACTGTACAGTCAGTGTTAAAGAAGAAATATGTAACTGACAAGTGTTAAAAATGGGTACTGCAGTATAATTCAAAACATTGGAGAGAGCCGTCTCCCCCCCCAGCCCCTCCTCCATAGTCAAGAAGTCGTGTACTGCTCTCTTTGCCTCACAAGGCACTATCAGGTGAAACAGGAGGGGAGGGGGGGGGATGATGGATGATGAGAGAGTTTTGGTCTGAAAATCTGCTCTGAGAGTCCCATACTAAGCCTGTAGATACCTTTGAGCTTCAAGTCTAACCACTAAAGAAATCATTTCAATACCAAGCACTGATGAAACAACTTTTTCACATTCTACTCGAATAGAACAGTTTTGTCCATGGGAGTGCTTTGACACAAGCAGAAGAACACATAACAACAAAGCATCAGAACCAAAATAACAACAAAAATCCCATGACAACGCAACCCAAGGAAGAGACACACAGCAGCAACAAAACCCTCATCAGTAAAAGAACCCAAACAAAAACCTGACCAATATCAGAATCCAGAAATCATAAGAATTCAACCAACATAACTCAAAGTCAACAAAATGTCAAAAAAAAGACCCTGCTCTTATTAATAAACACGGCAAAAGAGCTTCTGCGGCACAATGCATCATAACAAAATGATTACTGAATGTTCTGCTGTCAGAGATGAAAAATGACTGTAGCCCAAAATAACCCAACACAGCTTTAGAAACAGCGTTGTTTGTAATGTATTGATCCAACAGCATGGACAAAAAAAAAGAATCAGTGTTTCACTGTTTTCATTTTGTTACTTCTGTGTGGTTGATGAGTTAATCCTGATTGAAGAACTAAATAAGCATCTTAGTGCTAAAGTTTATTCTCTGATAATTAGACCTGAGTATTCATGAAAATATGTGTTAATGGTAAAATGAATACATATCCCCTTCTAAGCTACATTATTTTCCAAATTGTCTTCATGTTTATATACCTTATGTGACTTTTTCTGTGATAAAAAGCTTATCTTGTATTGTGCATATACTGAAAGATCACCTACTGATAGCTCCATCTCCCATCTAGGTTCCTTCTTCCCAGCACTGAAGCCATCTGAAACCGTCTTCAAGGTGATCTTCTGGCTGGGATACTTCAACAGCTGCATCAACCCGGTCATCTACCCCTGCTCCAGCAAAGAGTTCAAGCGCGCTTTCACCCGGCTCCTCAGGTGCCAGTGCCACAAAAGACAGAGAGTCCTGCGTCGCTTCTATGACCAGAGGTGGCGGACAGCTGTCAAGGGAATGACAAGGGATCAGAGTGGGGACTACAATGCTGGCTACACTGTGAACGAAACCTTTGGCAGCTCTATGTTTCAAAAGGGGAAAGGGCGCTCGCTCCGTTTCAAAAGATGGAGCCTTTTTCCGCCGCTGCAGAAATCCTCCTTCCAGTTTAAAGAGAAAGTGAACAATCTGTCAAATAAAATCAAAGGGAGTACGGGGAAAAGCAGCACACCTGCAGTGGGTCGGATTGATATAGTAGACACAGTCTCCATGGGGATTTACAACTCCTGTGAGCAGAGCACTTATCAGTTCTATGATCTGGCAGACTGCTACGGCCTGAAAGAGACTGACATTTAGGGAGGCGCAAGAGAATCTTTTATTTATTTTCAAAGGGTCACATTGGAACAACATGCAAAAAAAGACTCCGATAGGGCATAATTCTGTCTACACTAAATGTCTGAGAATCAAAGTGGAATAAAAGCCGCAGATCTAGGAATGATGGCTGGATCCCAACACAAACAAGACAAACTTGATCTCAAACTGATACTCCCATCATGTTTATTCAGATCTAACCTCTGATGAGCTGCTGACTCAAAAGCAAACAAGGTCTCAGACTTCGTCAGACTACTGTCACTTGAAAGATTGTGTACGGACAAAACACAGCCAACAACTGACAGATGTTCACACGTTCTGCAGTTAAAGTCTCAATTTTTTTTTTTACTTTACACAAGTCGCCATGTCTTTAAATCTGACCTAGGGGACTATTATTGGAAGAATGCTGTTATTTTGATGTTCATCTTATTCTAAACAGAATATACAGCTGAAATAAAACAAAGTAAAGCTATAACAAATCATTTAGGGTCAAAGTTACATTTTTGATTTGATCAAATATGAATTTTCAGAATTCAATTTATTTGTCTGCAATTTTTTTTCCTGTTTTGACAAGGCATTGTGTGGATCAGAGGCAAGCTCAGAATAAAGATGCTGCATATTATTTATTCAAACGGATTTATGACTCAACTTGGCATTGATATATGTTTGTATGAATTCAAATCCATTAGTCTACCTTTCTGTAACTTTTTGCTCTTAGTGAGTGGTGATGTGAAATTAACATTGTTTTTTTTTGTATTTTCTGATGTTTGTTCATGTCTGACCCAAAAAAAATAAAAGTGGAGAGAAACAATGTTGAGCTAATGATGAAGTTAACCAGTCACCATCACTGTGATTTGATTCATGATTAAAAAAGAAATATCCAGCAGATGTCACTATTGTTTTGTTTTTGTTACCTCCTTTAACCAAGCACATGCTTTTGGAGAGCATTTTGGCAAAAGCTTAGTAGCAGTGAAGTCAGTGGAAACAGATCAGTATCTTCATGTGTTAAGCAACAAGGGGGGACAAGTTGCTGGCAAGCAAAACAGATTTGGGTTTTAAAGAGAGTGGCAAACAGTTATACTAGCATGCAGTGCAGGCGAGCCAGAAAACAGAAAAAAAAAAAACTATCAGGGCGAGTAAATCTCAATTGCTTCCTGTTGTTAGCCTCATTACAATTAAGAGTTCACTCAACTGTTTTCTTCTTGGGAAAGTCTTGGAGTTGAGTTTCAACTTTTTTTTTCTTCCCGATTCGAGATGTTGACCGAAACCAAAACATGACAGAAGAGACAAAGATATTAGAATAAAAACTGTCTTTGTCCATTTACATCCCATAAAAGAGCAGCTACTACATTACATGGAAGAAGAAGAAAAAGAAACCAATTATGCAAGTATATTTTGTATTCAGTTCACAAAGGAAGGCATGAATGGTAGGATTTTATTGGTTTGCAAATCCAACAGACTATAAAACATGCTGTGAATGTTCTCTGTTGTGGTCTTAGAAACAACACTTTGAAAAAATAATTCTCCCTGACATGTCTGTCTCTGAATAAGAAACTACAGAGAGCATTTATGTGTTCAGCTATTTTCTGACTGGTGCCATAAAAGTCCCTGGTTCCTTTGTCAGTGAGTTGATGGACCATCACAGCAAACACTCTGCCATGAGGCAGGCACTGCCTTGACTCCTAATTGTGTACCTTTGATGCTAGTTTAACCATATTAGTATTTAAGCTAATAACAGACTGCTCTCTTCTTTTTTTTAAATTCACAGCAGACATGGTTGGTGTGTTAAAATGGAAGCACAATGTCATATAGGTATTCAAACACATGAGGATCCATCACAGAAAAAAACCCAGAGAATGTATTTTGAACAAAAAGGCCAAATAGGTGAAACTAAAACTTACTTTCAAATTCCAAAAGAAACGTCCAAACGTAAAGGTCTATGAAACAGGTGGAAAAACACAAGAAGCCACAAGGAAAATCAACAATAAAATACAGGGGACAACAGGAAAAGTCTGACAAACACTAACACAGATGGGAAGAAACAGACTAAATACAGGGAGCGATCAAACAGGTGTGACAGACAAGACACAGGTGAGACTGATGAAGGCAAACAAAAAGTGAGGAAGTAAGACTAGACATGATACACAGGGTCAAGAACTACAAAATAAAACAGGAAACACTGAAAAGTAAAATACTCAGGAAACAGAGAAACACAAGGATACAAATTACAAAATAAAAGCAGAAATCACTACTAAGCAAGAACAACAAGGAGCAAACAAACTAAAGGAGAGTAAATCATGAAACACAACCCTGAGCTCTGTCACAGTAAGCCTGGAGCTAGGAAGGCTAATCCATGTCAGCATTTTACACAAAATGTGTCTTGCCCTGCATGCTTTTGAAAGTCTGATGATAAAGTCGCAGAAGCAAAAGTAGGAACACTTCTGACAATGAATGAGATTTTGGAAATAGATTAAGGTTATGAGCAACATACATGGAGCGGATGATGAAGACTGATACATTTGTAAAGACAAAAAAATTGAATATCAACTTTAAGCCATTACACTTTATTAAGCACTTTGGCAAAACTACATTTAAAAAACCCTTTAATCATTTTAAAGCTTTAGATTAGCTGTATTCAAAATCCTAAGTAACCACGTCAATAGTATTTGATACAAACTGTTTTGGGACATAATCTCAGTGAGATAATTTTCTCATCAAAAAAAAAACTGATGAATACAACCAGATACATGCAGTTCATAGATAATCCACCAGGGGGCAGTAGACACGCCTTAATAAACAACAGGGCTGTTCAAGTGGTCAAGCGTTTGAACCTCCAGGGGTAAAGGAAATGTGTTTTAATGTTTTTATAACTTAATGTTTGACTCATATATGATACAAAACACAACTCATTGAGCTATGCAATGTGTTTTTAAGTCTTTTTTTAAAATTCAAATGTTTTTATAATGACTTCAATTCAAAAATGTAGCACCAAAAGGTTTAGGCCTTACAGGGTTAATAAATATGTGGAGAACTTGCAGCAAAACTTCAAAAATAATATTGATGAATAAGCTGCATGTTCTAACAAACTTTTCTGAAACAAAGTCATGGTTTTAACTATATTAAATATTTATATTAATTATATTAATTACATTAATATTTCATGTTTGTGTGATAAAGTTCAAACTTTATGTGCATTTAAGCCTAATAAAAGTCAAGTCAGTGATTTTAAAATATCTGATCTTGGTATGTAGTTTGCGGTCATTATGTGTGCAACGTGAGCGCCCTCTGCTGGAGCCTTTGCAGAAGTGACCAATGCAACCCGTGTGTCGTTGTGAGTCATGTTCCCGTGGTTGACTTGTTATAAGCTCCACTGAAAGGCTTTAAAATGAACAATCAAGCTCTGACACAATAAAGTCAGGGGGCCACAGGGGTTTTCTATGATAGTACCGGTATTATAGAAGGGGTAGGGTGCTAGGAAAATGTATAAACAGGATAGGGAGTGGTAGTGAATGTAGGAGGAGGTTGGACAGCTTAGGTTTTTTTTATTTTTCCCTTTTTACATTATTTAATGATATTATTTTGTATCATAATTATAATTCTTTTTTTAAATATTAAGAGTCCTTTGTCAGAGCCAAAACTCCGAAACAGACGGTGGCGGTAATGCACCAACGTGATCGATGCCAACCGAGAGAGAGAGAGAGAGAGAGAGAGAGAGAGAGAGAGGCAGAAGACGATGAGGAGAGGGTTAATAACATAATTTCGTTGTTCTTGGTACAAATAAAAGTGATATTTATTTATTTATTTATTTATAGTTATGTTTAAAAGATTCTCTGAAATCAGTATCAAACTATTTAGTGATTGATTCTTATTGAGCAATTCAATAAATTCATTTATTGCTCACATTGTCATGGTTTCCTAGTTTGCCTGCAGCCTTGTTATTGATCTTTGATGAAGTTTACAACTCAAACTGTTACCCTGACTGTTGTTGCTGTCTGTGTTTTGAAAATATAAACTCTTTCTGCTGGAAATGTATCATTTTGTGAGTCAAGTGGATTTTTGTGTTGATCTGACGAAGTATAATCAGTTTCTAGCTTTGTTTCTGATAAGGTGAGTTTTCACTGACAAGAGTTTCAATATTGGATCCTACACAACTGTGACCTGCTCAACAACTATATGCATTAACGTCCCTATTGTGCTGTGTAGGAAGTGACAATCGTAAACTAAGTAAGTTGATGTATGCCATCATTTCCATCAATATGACGTTAAAGTAGCCAACTTGAAGTATTGATAGTGCAGGAAAAGTTACACGCTGCTGCTGTTGTGGTCACTGAAAACCAGCAGAGGGCAATAAACAACTACACAAGATAACCTGGCTACATGTTCTTGTCTGAGTGGCGAAAGGGTGAAAACTAAAAACACACTGGATTTGTATTAATGTTGCCAAGTGGCCACTGGTTATCATAAATAACCTATGTAACCATGGCAACATGCTTCAACAGTAGCAAGCGAAGAAAAAACAAAACGTAGCTCCTGTTTTATAAAGTCAAACCAACACTTGGACCCCAGTCAGTCAAAAAAAAAGCTGGCAGATCAGACAGTCTGGCAATGAATAAACAGGCCTGGAGTGTGCTTAAGGAGGCAACTCTGCCTTCTGTGAACATCCAGCCCTTAAATACACACACACACCCTCACACACACCCTCACACACACCTGGTACTATAGGTGAATCCTGAAACACGAACCTACAACCCAGAACAGCTGTAACGTTGCCTCTTTTTTTTTAAACCCTCAACGGACACATTTTACTATAAAAACATTTTATTGTTATTTCACAGTCATTATTCACACATAGAAAACACAGGCAGGACCAAACTCCTTCTTTTGAGAGAACACGTACAGTTATGTCAGTTCATGTGGCAGAAACATAGTCATGGTACTGAGTGGTTGAATTAATAGTGGTCATTACAATGACGAGCGTATGACAATACAAGTGGGGGGGGGAAAAACTAAATAATACAATTCATTTTGACACAGAAATGTAGTGAGAGTGTAGTGTCTAAGGGTCATTTTTCAAAATAAGGTAGGTAGAATAATTTGAAGCCTCGTCTCCCACGGACAGCACAGCTGATGTAAATCACGTGGTACACTGCGGAGAATAAGAGGATGACTTTGTTAACGTCAACATTTACTGGCTGAGGAAAAGAAAAAACAAAAGTTCTATGGACCAAATCATCAAGTTTACCTCCAGGGATGAAGAGAAGAAATCCAGGTACAAAGAAAATAGCACTTGAAACACCTATAAGAACACTTCCATTAGTTACAATGAACAGACACAGTCACCAATGGTTATTAGAGTATCCACAACTTAAAGGAATATTACAACTAAAGTATTGGCCCTCCTGTCAGTAGTTCAAAGAGCAGTGACAGTGCCATATCTTTCATGTCTACACTGAAAATATGTAGCTACCACCAGGAGAAGAGAGACTGGAAACAAAAGGGGTCCACACCTGATTTTATCTGTTTGAGGCACACTAATAAACAACATTTTCCCACTTTAACCTCTCCCACACAAGATTGACTTTCACCGCTTCATAGACCACTCCTACTTGGCTTTTTTTCTGCAATTTCTTCCAACTAAAGTGCACCTGAACGGATTCCTAACGGATAAATAAATAAAGTTATTTGAAGTTGAAGTGACCGAATATTGCTCTACACACAGTGAGCATATCAGTTTCCAATTTATTTGTTTAATATTATGTTGTGTTTGATTAATGCATGTACAAAAACAGTGTTAGGAAAAAAAAAAAGGACAAAAACAATTACTGGGGTTTCCTGTGGGGTTACAAGCAAGACTCATTCTGCCTTGGTTGAGTAGCTTCAATTTATTTATTGTCTGACATCTTGAATTTAACCCACATAAATGAATGCTTTTGTTTTGAAGAACGTACCTGCATTTGGATTGAGCTGTATGACAATACCTGTGAAAATAAGAGCTAAAAAGACACAATACAAAGCTACATCAGAGACTGGAGGGACATGTGAGTGAATATCACATTTAACTCTGGGACAACACCTGTTACACAGAGGGGGATCAACAAGGGGACAAAGTCCAGCATGTCCTGGAATGACACAACTCTGAACAAACTAACCGGTGTTATCTCCCAAAACTATTTAAGAAGATATGTCGTTATCCAAATAACCCTGAAATCCTTAAATATGAACATGCTAAAGTATATAAAAGTAGAAGACAGATAGGACAACATGTGAAAAACAGGAGCTGAAGTCAGACATTGCATTACATTGCTTCTACTTGCACTGAAATTTATCACAGAAAACATCTCGTTGAACACTTTCCATCTATTGGATAATAATCTGACTAAGACTTACCGACTCCAGTGATGAGGAGAAGGAAAGAAGCAAGAACAACCTTTCTGTTTTTCTTACCAGCGGATGAGACACGCACCTGCACAACAAACCGTTGGTTTTAAACGGAGCTGGGTTTGTTGTTATTCCTGTGTGAGTATGTATGAGTGACAGCATGCGTGTGTGTGTGTGTTGGTGTTGTCTGAACTTACCCACAGCAGTGTGCAGAAAGCTGTGTGACAGAACTCAAGGTGCTGAAGGACCACTGGGAGCTGCAGTACGACAGATTGGCAGGGTCACTGTGGAGAAAGCGGAAACAGATTTTATCTCACACTTTGAGAACGCACATGCGACGGATTGGAAAATATCAACAACTCCACATGAAGATCAAACCTGATTTTGAAGAAGTTATTGAAAGAGGAGTTGCCATTACTCCCTAGGGCGTCTTCATTTTCCAGATTCTAGAGGAGCAGCAGATGATCAATGAGTTATAACTTAAACAAAAACGTATATCCCTTATGGTTGTGTACACACAGGTAGTAAGAGTACCTGGTACTTTAAGTTGCTGTGCTCGAGGGAGCCGGCGGCGGCGGCGGGCGAGGGATGAGTTTGAGGTTTGGAGAAAGTAAGAGGACCAAATGTCATCTCTCCTCCTTCCCTGTCCTTCCATCCCTGCGGCTCTCCGTCAGACACAGCTCCCTCCTCCTCGTCTCCCTCCAACACAAAGGCATCATCGATACTAAACTGTGTTGCCATGGTGATCGCCTCTTACGCCCTCAGGTCCTGTAGCTGGATGCACACTGTTGGTCCAAATCGAAAGAAGAAAAAAAATAAAAAAACAATGTGAGTGCATGAACTCAGCTATGAAAACATTTTAGGTTAACCAGCAGTGGTAATGTTCATTTCTGCAAAACTTGTGGAGCTAAAAGTTAAAATGCATGGACTTTGTTTGGTTGTGTTTATTTATTTTTTACCACATAAACATGTTAGGAACCAGGATACACTTTAACCTACACAAAATATATAAACACATGCATAAAAACTAAGAACAAAGCAGAAACGTCTATTATAGCCACAAAGTAACAAAACAGCTGCAGCACTGGTTCAATTAATTTATTCTACAATTAATTTATCTGACGCTTTTGTCTAAAGTGATGCACATCAAGGAGCGCAAAACAAGTAACACAAACATTATCAGCTGGTGGAACTAAAGTTTATTTGAATTAACCCACTAGACAAATGTGGCTGTGCCTTCAGTCCCTGCCATTGTTTGTGCTCTTTCCGCTCGTCGATCAGATGACCAGGATGAAAACTTACTGTCTTCAAAAAGTTTACTCTTTTTCTCCAGGGAGGCCCGATGTCGACTAGACGTCGATCAAACATGTGTCATACTCTTTTACACTTCATGGCAGCTCTGTCAAAAAAAAAAAAAGACTTCCGAAAAATATTCGATTTACGTTGAACGAGTCCGAAGAAAGCTTTCCAAAAGTTTTCCGATCCTTTTTGTTAACACCCGGACCTCGATTGCACTCGACTGATTACGCCCAAAGATCTCCTCGGGAAACAGGCAACTTAATCGAGTGTCGGTTTGCCGATCGACTTGCACAACATGAATTATTCAGATCCTCTATTTCAGTCAAAGTGGCCCTTTTTTTTTAATTTATTTACCAAGCTGTTATTTAAGCCCTCTTACAAGTAACATGACATCTCTGCTTTTGAAGAGACTCAATCAAAGAGTGTATTCATTTTAAAAATAGCCTGTAGGTGTAAAGTATGCCTGATGCATTACAAAAAATTTCTGTTGTTGAAGGACGGTGAAACTAACCTATTCAAATATAGAGTAGGACTGCACCTCGTATTTCTTGAGATAAAAATACCCAGCTTATTTTCTTTTTCAGTCATATTGTTTGATAGTCTGAATGTCAAATGCTAAAAATAAAATTCCAATAACCATTTTGTATTCTATGCTTGCAAAATGCCAAAAAAGTATTTAACCATGCTGGTTTATATAATTGGATTATATAAACCAGCATGATTGGACCAGGGCCTGCAAACAAAAGGACATTCTTGTAAATCATCTTTTTAAGTTTTTATTATAACCCATGGCACATTTCTACAATCATTTTTGGTACTTTATACGATAGGAGTGTTGTTCACAAACGTTGCAATATATTTTATTTTTATTTTCAATAAGCACACACTCAGTTTTGTTTGTGTTCAACTATGTCCTTCAGTGTGTGTAGCATGGAATCCTTTGGCAAAAACAATTTAGTATGTAAATTAAAATATTTGTGAAATTATTTGCCCACCGCAACCACTCATATGCCATCTGTCAAGAATTATCTAGTGCAGCATATTACCATCTGATTGTTATATGTTTGCAGTTTTAAAAAAAGCAATATAAATCCTCCCACTTTGTATCTTTTGCCAACATGGGAAATCATGTGATTTCCTGAAAGTCAGAAGACCTGCTCTACGCAAACAAACATCTCTAAACTAACAATCATAGATTAGCCATTGTTGGTTTCATTTCAGGGGAGCAGACAGATTTTAGGACTGAAGACGAGCTGAATGTGGTAGAAACATTAAATCAAATCAAACCAACAAAACAGGTTACTGATTCTGGATTCGACTGGAAATCGAAGAAATGTAAGCTATTTAATATTATAAAACGTTTTGTGGATCAAACACTGAATTGAAGCTTTATTATTTTGCATTATATTTATGTTTAGGTGCTTTTGCTTTGTGAACAACAATACTAACCTCCTGAAGTTTTTACAAAAGCAACTTTTGACAAGGTGAAAGATTTGACTAGATCATCACATTTAAATGAAGTGTTCTGGGGCACATGATTGTTTTACAGATTGCCTCTCATATTGATCTTTCTTCTGGCTTATTGAAGCCATATTTATTTCGAAATCCTTTCTTGCAGAACTACAAAGTCAACATGTAAATTTCTAACTTGTGCTCTACTTTAGATGCGACTACCGGCCATGCTTTGCCTCTTCCTGTTGCTGATTTTTGAGGTAAATTTAACTGAGATAAAGAATGAATTTGTTGCAACTCAGGGACATTTTCTACCTGAATATTACATCACCATTAGCTGGTCTATGAAAATGGCTTAAACTTGATCTTTCTTCACTGTTAAAATGAGCAGATTTCCCTTCCTTTTTAACATTTTTTATAAATTATGTTTTAGCTTTCTTCATGCACAAAACTCCAGGTGACACCTGGTTCAGCTCTGGAGCTGCCCTGTTTCTCACATCCAACTGGTTTCACCGGAGAGCCTGTCACCTGGACATTCAATGGTCATATTTCTCTACCACTGGTATTTTTTTTACTGTTCTCCATAAAGAAACATGTATACATCTTTAGTTTGATCTTTCTCTGAATGCAGGTGAAATCATAAGTCACCCGACGTCTCAGTCCCCTGGCTGGACTAGAGTTAAAAAGGATGGCTCGATTCTCTCTATATCCCCTGTAACTGCTGCCCACAGTGGCATATACAAGTGTTCAGTAAAGGAGAGCAACATGGAGATAAGTTTGACGTACAACATTGCAGTTGTCGGTAAGAAACAGTAATACGTTTCTCTTTTATGATGAGTACATGTAGTGTTTGTGTTGTTTACAAGCATAGACAAGCATTTTCAATCTGGATTCATTTAAAATGTGTGTTTATGGAAGATCCAAAACACTTGAATCAAAAGTGTGTTTGTGTCTCTTTGCACAGTTGCAAATGTCTATACCATTAGGATAATGGGAGGCCAGAGTGGTCACCTCCCGTGCCATTTTCCGACTTCAAGCCAGGTCACGGCTAATGCACTGTGGTTCAAAAAGACGGGAGAGGGCCAGAGGACACAGCTGGATCTTGAGGACAATTCAACAGACGATGAGAAGAGAATAGAACAGCTCTATCCACTTGATCATGATCAGACCATCATACTCAGGAACACTATCATGGGGGACACTGGTACTTACTATTGTGTGTCTGCTGAGGGGGAGACGCTGAGCACTGTACACACTTACATTGATGGTAGGTTTGTAAACCTTTTTCAACTGCTGTCTGTTTAAACGATGACCATTGATTAATTCAATTAAATGACAGACCGATGAGCTTCCAACGAGTAATAAAGAACACATTTCCAAACTATGTCGAAATATTGATATAAAAATGTAGGCACAGCATTTATGTACATCTCTAACATACCATTCAACTTTCTTTTAGTTGCTCCTACCGATGCTCCTTACTCGTGCGCGGATTTCAACGCACCATGGGAGCCTTGCCTGGATGTAAACAGTCGCACAGGGGAGCCCATGTTGCAGGAATCCATGGCAGAGTTTTCCTTCACGCTGTACTCTTACCTCAGACATTCACAACCATCAAGCAACTTGCTCTTCTCTCCGATTAGTATTGCTGGGGCACTGTCCCATCTGTTGCTAGGTATGAAAATGGAAGTTCCTAATTTTTTACATACATTTTATGATTGATTATTAGTTCATGACAACAAATACTTTTTGGCAACATCCATACAAATGCATAGAAACCAACAGTACAACATCATCTGCATAGAGCACAGATGCAGTTCTGAGGTGCCTATAAAACAGACGTTCTCCCTTTGCTTTGTGATGCTGTCAATGAAAAAAAACAAGCTGAATCTGTGAAAAGGGATAACCAAAAGAGGCCAACACCTACAGGGAATGGGTTTAACTGTGTGATGAGGATATGGACTAACTCTTAATTTACAAGACAGGGTGGCTTGTAGCACTTGCCTCAGTACCCCATACGCCCTTACACCAAAATCTACACCAAACTGTACTACTTAAGGGACACTGTCTTCTGCCACCAAAAGACCAGAAAACGCATGCTGATTGGATGAGAAACATCCCATGAAGCCCCAGTAACTGTGCAATAGAGCTGGTCCACTGTAGATTGTTGCAATTGATGTTTGTTTTTTTTGCCTACGGTCATCTGGAACCAGGTGCCATTATTGAACCACCATGTTTGTGCGTTTGTTTTGGCAGTCCATGATTACCGTAAAAGTCCAATAACTAAACACCACGTGGGTGCACATCAGGCAGTATGCTTCTTCATGTCAGCCGCTTCAAACGTTATCTATTGTTGCCCAATTTTGAATTATCATTTAGTAATTTTCATGGGATTTGTTGATAAGAAAACTAACAAATAATGAAAATTTCTTATAAATAATAATAACAAGCAATAAGTATTGCTCTGTTGACTGTGAACGTATAGACAAACTTTTAAATTACAAATTAGTTACATAATAAAGTTCTCCTCTTTATATACTAAATCTTGGACATTCTCTGCAGCTGTCAGTATCACTTTTTATACATTATGCCCTTTTCCTCTCCTGTTATTTTCAGGTGCCAGGAGTGACACCCGCAAAGCCATTGAGAGGGCTCTCTTTGTGCCCCATGACTTCCACTGTGTTCACTTCCAGATGAGAAAGCTGAGAGAGAAGTTGGTTGACTCCTTAAAAATGGCATCTCAGATCTACTACAACTCAGGTATTTCTCACAAATAGTTTTTCTGTATAAAGAAATGCAGTGAAAGAGATAGATGTAGAGCTTCTCAGCCATGCTAAAAGAATCCATCTCTGCAGCTCATGATGGTTTCTCTGTTCTCTTTCTCAGAGATGAATCTGAGTGAGTCCTTCGCTAACCAGTCCATTGAGTTTTATGAGGCGGAGCCAACAAGACTGCTAGAAAACAGCCAGGAAAACTCACAGATGATCAACAGCTGGGTGGCAAATAAGACCAACAATAAAATCACACATCTGGTAGACTCTGTGCCTCCCAATACACAGCTGATGCTGCTCAATGCCGTCTCCTTTAGTGGTCAGTAAAGTGTATGCGCACAAGTGTGTATGTGCAAGGGAAATTGTTAGAATCTGAATGAGGTGTGTGTGTGTGTATCTGCCTCAGGTCAATGGAAAGTCAAGTTTGAGTCAGAACCCAAGAAAGGACTTTTCACTAAACTGGATGGTGATCTGGTCAAGGTGCCTCTCCTCTACCACCAGAAGTACATGTTGGCTGTGTCATACAACCTTGAGCTTGGTGCACAGGTAAATACAAAACAGACCCATATATTTGCATAATACACAGCCAAGTGGGAGATGTTGTAAGGCAAAGACACTTGTGAAGTTTTTTTGTTATAATCCATAGTGCCTAATTGCATTTTTAAAAAGCCTTTTTTATTACAAAGACTTCAAATGCTATTCAGGGGCACAAGATAACCTTGCTCTACCAGGGGACAGTGTGTACTCCAACCTAATTGGTTCATTAATGTCTACAGGATG